AAAGAGGAATTTGCAACTCATTCCGATGAGTATTTGTAGCTGCAGGACTTCACTACAGCTGCACCCGGAGACACAGAAACTGAACATGTACTGACATTGTCTTAAACCTGTAGGAAGTTAACACTACAGCGCCCCCAGCCGTCGTCCGCGCCTTCCCAGTCCAGAGAAATCTACTACATTTTAACAAACAGACAGAGTTGTGAGGTGTCACATCATTTGACATGATGCAGGTAATTCACAGTGGATGTATCGTACTGCTAGAAGGAGCAATCAGGCTACAGCAGCCAGTGGAGGACAGGACAGGAAGTGAATGTGATAAACCTGCTGCTATTCTGGAACAAGGAAGTGTGTTGACGCCAGGGAACAGGACACCGTAGGCTCCCCTGACTCACTGATGAGTGTCATCACAGGTTGTCAAGTCAAGATGTGTATGAGCCTGCAGTGTGAGTGTTCTGATGCAGGTTCAATATCACTGGAATGAGGAGCGTAAGGTGACTGAAGAGTGTGTGTCAATTTACTCACCTGCCACGATAATTCTACATCCAATATCTTCCCCATTCTGCACATTGCAGAGCTTAAAGCAGTACTTTTGGGAGATGCACTGATTTGCCTTTGGGCAGAAACTTAGATGAGAAGACTAATAACATGTCTGCACATAAAAAAAGGCTACAGCCATCAGTTGGTTAGCTTAGCTTAGCACAAGCTGGAAACTGCCCAACAGTAGCAAAACTACACCCACCAGAATCTCTAAAGCGCACTAATTAACATGTTAGATCTCATTTAATCATTACAAAACTCAGACCACCATTCACTGTTTAATGGGAGGTTATGTTTTAGCCGATTTTTAACTGGGTAAGGCAACTTCCAAGAGTCTCTAGTGGTTGCCTGGCAACAGCTCAGAGCCAAGAAATAGTCTAGCACATAACCCTGCCCACCAATGGCAAATTGTAATTTTTGCCTTTTGGTTTTTGTACACATTAAAAAGTGCAACAAGTTAATTGGTCAGCTGTACAGGTGCTGGTGTGCACATTTTGCTGCCCTCAGAAAGAGCCAGCTAACAGTTTCTCTCCAGTCTTAGCTAAGCTAAGCTAACCACCTGTGTGCAGATACCATCATCCAGTTCGATACCAGTGCTTTGGTTATTCCTATATACAGCGCAGTACCACTCTGTGGAACTAACAGGGGCCATTTTCATGTAAGGTAACAGCAGCTCAGGGACCGTTTTTCACTCTGCAGCTCACTGAACATCAAATGCAAAATGTTACGATGATACTAACAAAGTAATTGTGTTAATGTGGATTAGTTATGGCAAATATGTATATGATTTGGTCAGCATGGGTGTGACACCTAGTGTACCAGATCAGTGCATGCCTACTGTAGCTGTAGAAAACCAGACTGTTCATACTTTCTGGGTTCTGTAAATGCTGCCAATCCACATCAGCCATTTTAATGTCGTCGCTAGTTACTCATTCATTGTCAGTGACTGATGTGGCTCATCTGTGCCAAGAGGAGTTTAAATATTAATTGGTTGAGATATTCCCAAATGAAATCAATGGATTCTTCAAAGAGCTCTCTGTAGAGCGTGATCTGTCAGTCCATAGTCAGGTTTAATCAAAACCTGTCTTATATACAAAGCTGAGTTTGAGTTAAAAGTATGTATGAGTGGATTTCATATGAGGGACATGATAGATTAAAGTAAAAAAAAAATGAAGTTGAATGATTTTGCCTTTAAAATAATGTTTCATACAGTTTGAGGAGTTAAAGCTAATGTATAAGAGAAATATGATATTTGAACAACAACAGAGTTTTATGTAATTTCCTTGCAAAGTGGTCACATGCAGCTACAACAGAGGAGAAACAACTTCACAAACTGTCTGTATCAAACCTTACAAATCAAATCAATCAAATCTGTACTGACACGTTTTCAAAAATGATTATATGGTCTGAGTTTGATCAGCAGAAAAGTGAGCGATGAATGAATTTCAGCGAAGCACCAGCTGAACATCTGTCCCTGTATCTCCTCCTTAACAGAGCTCATCGCTGGTGATCGGGGAGACAAGGTGTGATGGCTGCCATGGCAACATCGCTGCCACTATATGGTGTGATGTGTCTGGTTGCTTTGGTAACACCTGATGATGTTTGGCAAAGGATAGCGGGGAGATAGGGACGCTTGTCTGTTCAAATGAGTGAGACTTACAGATTGTTAAAACAGTTAAATGTTTCTCCACTCTTCAGGACAGATGGTCAGATGAAAGGAAACTTTCATGACTGGTGGATAGATAAATCTTTCTCTTTAAAGGTATTTATCTGTGGAAACCTGACGCGCTCAGCAACACTCTGCTTCACATTCAGACAGCTGCAGACTTTCACAGCTCTCAGTGACAACTGTGCCATGTTCCTCAGGTTTTCTTGAGGGCACAGAGACATTGAGTTTTGCTATCCAGCTTTCCTACACTATTCTGGGATTTTTGGTAACAAAACTGTTTTTGTAACTTTCCATCACTGTCACACAATTTTGAAATGTGTCTGAAAATCTGGTCTGAAGCCTGTTCGGTACAGTACATATCCTAACAACTGACTTCTGATTAATGGACAGTTTTATTTTGGAAAACTGAGCATTTATCAGAAAATTATTTCTCAGAATGTACCAGCAGAGGATGTGATTTTTTTGATTGACTTCACACAGACATATCAGTGTTATACACACTGTACAAGCATAGACAGACATGCACACAGTGTCCTGTTGCTGCAGGTGCTGTGGACACTGTTAAGATTGAGTAGGTGCAACAGCAATTATGAAGAGACTAAAGACAGGTCAGATATACAGTAGTATTCATAACCATGATTTTGCACTTAGAGTTGTTTGTTTTCACCAGTATTCTGATATTCTGCCTTCATGTACAGTCAACTTGGCCTATTCTTTGTCTGTCTAGACATTTATTTCACTCAAAATTTTTCTTTCCTTAGAAGGCTTCTGAAAAGTGAGTTTTTGTGCAGCTTAGTGGTGACTTTTAATAGCCACAACAATAAAGAGAGACAAAGTTAGGTACTCAAACTGATAATAGTTAGCAGGTAAACAGAGGGAGATACTAAAAGAGATATTAAAGAGACATTCGAGGAAAGGAAAATGTTCAAACTGCTGCAGTGCATGTTGGCCAAGCTCACTGTCCTCTAAAACCTTTTGATTCCAGTTAAAATCTAACTGAATAGAACAATTTTCAAAAGGTAAACAATTCCTGTGGAGTACAAACTGATGGGTGACAAATGAAAGGAAAACCCTGAGCGGTCTCTTCCAGGATGACAGTGGCCCCATCCATAGGACTTGAGGGGGTCACGGAATAATTTGATGAGTATGAAAACGATGTGACTCATGTGCTGTGTCCTTCACAATCACCAGGTCACAGCATCGGTGTTGGTAAATACGCTGCTAAATTAAAAAAATTGTGGGGCAGCAGTATTGTCTGATGGTAATTTGCCACAGGTTTAGTAAATAGTGAAGTGAGGGAATATCTTTTTTGAAGAGTGGTGTTCATCTCTCCAGTAGAGTTCAGGTGCACTGAAGCTGTTCTGGTGGCACGTGGTGGCCTCACTGAGACACTGTATATGTTTCCTTTCATTTGTCACCCGTCTGTAGGTAGTTGTTCATGTTTTCCTTTTCAGAGTTATGAGTTCACTGGACATACTGTTGATGGTGATCTTGGCCGACCACTTGGAGGTGCCGTCCAGGACGCTCTGCTTTATGTTTTTCATGTGCTGGGTGTGGATCATCTTGGAGATGTTAAACACCTTCTGGATCTCCTCAAAGATCTCCGGCTTGTTCCTCTCACGGATCTTCATCCTGTCCTTCATAGCCATGATGATGTGTTGTGTCCGATCCTCAGCCCCTGTCTTGGAGCTCTTCTCAGCTGCTCCTGAGGATGGAGGTGTAAGAGAAACAGAAGAGAAAGGAGGATGATGGGGTCCAGAGGTTAAAATTTGAAAACCACAGAACGACACGTTTATTTAAATTATGTTGAATGATAGTCGTTTGTTGTCCTTCCTAGGTTTTCATAAACCCCCAGGTATTTGGATGCAACCCTTCTAACATACTGAACAGATGTTTCTTTTGGTTAATCACCTGTTCTTTGTCACACCCATGAGTGTTTCCTGCCCATACAAATGTATGGCATGTGTTGTAGTCATAAAAAGCAGTGCAGTTTGTGTCTCAGTGAATAATGTTGACAGCTGAGAGCCATATGCAAAATAAGACTGCTTGAAAAGCTAACCTTTGAACACAAAAGTCAGCTTTCCATTGTGTGGAGTTGTGCTGGAATATAAAATGTTTAAGCCATTCCAACTGCTGTGAGAAATAACTGAATAGGAAGAAATAACAAACTAAAGTTTTGTGGGGGAAAAGCCATTAAGTGGCTCACACACAAAAAACCTGTATATGTTAATGACTGCAACAAAATGGGATGTTTGGCCATGTTCACTTATAGGATTCAGTCTTTAGGTAGTTTACTCACTCTGCAGGCAGTCAGCATTCAGCAGCTCTTGGCATTTCTCATGCACTTTGACCCCACACTCGGCACAGCGCATACCCTGCCGAGCGATGCCCCACAGCAGACCTTCACACTCATAGCAGTAGGTTGGAGTGGTGGCCGTCCATACCTCAAAGTTATGGGGCGTGGTGCAGGAGATGGGGTAGATCAGAGCCTGCAGGGTTTTCTTGTACACATGGGTTTTCTGTTGCAGCCAAGAGAGAACGAAAGAGGGGTGGGAGAGATGGAGGGTGTTAGAAAAGAAAGCAAAAAGGTGTTAGAAGTTATCAGAGGAAAAGTAAAAATAACAAGACAAAGGACAACAAGGTGAAAGAAACAAATGCAAACAAACACAGAGGAGAGAGCTGGTGGTGTAGAAGGCAGGAAAGGTGGCGCCAGAGAGTGGTAGAGCACAGTGGACAACGAGAACAATAAAACAACAATGGAAAGCAAATGAATTGGTAACTATAAAAATACACCAGCTGATTTGGTGTGACATTCAAGAAAAACCTACCCTGCAAGTAATGCAGGGTACAAAAAACGAATCAAAGCATCATTTCAAAGTGCCACCAACTAAAATAATAGAAAAATGTAATTATGTATGACAGTGCAAATGTGTTTTTTTAAAATACTTCTTGGCTTCTTCTCTGATGAACTAAATTCTGCTGTTGCTCAGTGTAGGAGGAGCGTGGGAGGAGGTGAGCACAGCTCCACAGGATGAGAAGACACCTTGATAAGAAGCCCAATTTGATTTGGTATATGCAGTTTTTTTTAAAGGGGCATGTGAGTCATTATCATTCTTCTTCTTCTTATAGTGGCAATTGAGGTATGGTGGTATTAGTAGTAGAAAACCAGTTTTATGTAAGAAAAAACAGTTGTATTTCATCTGGTCAGTGTTTCGCTGTTCTTATGTTTATTTACTTTGTGTCTTGTTCTAAATGGTCTAAGTTTTATTGATCTGACCTGTGTTGCTTTTGTATTTCTGTCCTGTGCTTTTACCTGATTTTATTACCCTTGATTTACTTCCCTGTCATTACAAAACATCCTGTAACTAAAAAGAAAAACATTTCCACTGCTGCTTCTATCATTGTTATTGCCAAACTAAATATGGATGAATGAACAGTTAAAACTCATTAAATTTGGACTCATATCTGTTTCATATTTGTTTTTTTTTATGCTTCTCACAGGTTGTCATCTTGAAAATATCTGCTCAGGCTTCTGTGTTTTTGGGCAAACACAAAAGTGTGGCACATTTTGTACATATAAATGATAATAATAATTAAATATAATAATAAAGCAGATTCTGATTCTGATATGCTATGTGAACCTCAGTAGCTTAGAAGTTTTACTGTCATTATACTGCAGTGAAGGGCAGCAATACAACAACATTTTGAAGGCACTTCCTGAGTTAAGGCAAATACAACAACAGTTTAAAAACACTAAGGCATAAGTATCGTTTAATAAAGGAACAGCTAACACTGCACATACATACATCTTAATATTTCTCCAATTCTAGCTGACACTGGGCGAGAGGCGGGGTCCACCCTGGACAGGTCGCCAGTCTGTCACAGGGCTGACATGTAGACAAACACTCACACTCAGGCAATTTAGAGTCACCGGTCAACCCAAGCTTCATGTCTTTGGACTGTGAGAGGAAGTTTTACAAAGTACATTTTTCAAAATAAGATGCTCTTAATTGTTCTTTTATGCTTTATTAAACTTAGGACTCTATTTAAGTGTAGTTATACTGCATAAATTATAATCTTTTAAACATGGCAGTTGTTTTGTTTTCCACTGTATTATTTTCTGTTTCACCTAACACAATATAATCACCATCCTCCCAAGTACAGTAGCCACGGTACAAAACAAACAATAACAGACCACCATGAAACCTCCTTCAGTCAGGGAAGCCTTGCTACTGATGGATCCATTAAAATCTGAAACTAACTCTGCAAAATTTGGGTCCCCATCATACATACTAACAATATGGCTCCAGAATAGTCACAGCATGATGCTCTTGGTGTGTTTGTCTGTAAATGGAAGTTTAGGCTTGTGGGGATTACCATTAGCTGGCAATTGAGGTGACAGCAAGCCAGCAAGTCTTGCAGCAGACAGCTATAAATTTATAGCCCGTGTGTGTGTGAGTGTGTGTGAGAGTCGGTGCATATGTATTTGGCCACTCACAAGCTCTTCATCTTTCAGGGAGGTCCGTGTGGCCAGTGTATGGGCGAGTCCAGCCTTCCTGGACTGTATCATAGACTGGAAAGGAGAGAGAGAAGGAAAAACACAGAAACAAAGTATTGTCACAAAAAGAAAAAATACAATCTAAGTGAAAAGAAGGCAAGACAGTTTTGAGTTATAAAAATCCATTCTGTGTATGATGTTAGGATCTTTCAGCTCTGAAGGTCATGGAGACTTGATATTCCACAAAAATCATATTTGTTCTTCTTTTCTCTTTGAAAGCACTTTTGGAAACAGGTCATAACTCATATGTTGGCATTATCACATTTGTGACAATCTTCACCGAATTTATTCCTATTAATGATGATTCAATCGTGTCACATCTGAATAAGTCATTAGACGTTATATCACAAACTCCTATAGCTTATTTGCTATCTTGAGTTAGATGAGAAGATTGATAGCCAGCCATTCTCACAGCCAGCAGCCAGTTAGCTTAGCACACAAAAAAGAGGAAACAGCTGGCCTGCCTAATACTTACTTACAAAGGCTCTATATTTTGTTTGTTTAATATGTATAAAACCAGTGTAAAAAAACAGATTTGCCTTTTTATGACTATCCTTTGGCTCAGACCAGTGACTTCCTGAAATCACTTTAGTTTCTAGTCTTTGTGCTAAGCTAAACATTAATAGCAGTGTGTAAGGGTGGCATTAATCTTCCCATCTAACTTTGTGTCAGGAAGCAAAGTGTATATTCCAACATATCATAAGAAAATACAGTATAATCTTAATTATAAAATTATAAAATTTTGTACCTTAGTCTAGTAGATTTATGGATGTGGAGAGAAGTAGCAGGACATTTGAAAGACACCCTCTCTTCATCTCAACCAAAACAAACAACTGGCTTTGAAATGCAGTTTTCATCCTAGAGCACAACTTCAAAGCCGTGATACACTCAAGAAAGGTAACTGCAACAGACGCACAGCTATTTTACCCCAGCTGGCTCTCATCATCTCACAGAGACAGACTGTCAGTTAAACTGATTAGTGCCATTTAGTTGCTACAGCACTAAAAAACTGTATTTTAATTATGTGCAATAAGGTTCTGTTTCATTTAATTTAGTTAACAAACCACATGTATCTAAAAGAATCCATGCTAAACGCTGTTCATGAGGCAACATCTTTCTCCACGGCAACATGGATCGCTACTATGTGAGCTTCTACCCTACAGCATCAATGTCTGGATGATTAGGGATGTGCCCAGCTCTTCACCCTACCTCACCTGGCAGTAATTTTTAGGGACAAAGATCAAACAAGGAAAACAAGCTCATGATTCTAAGCCAGGTTTCTGTTACAAGCAAAAGGTCCAGCTTACAAGTTAAGATAAACTCATTCAGATTTAAAATGCTTCACTGGACAAGGATCTGGTGTGTTCAGGGCCACTGAGGCCAGACCGGGCTGTTCAATGTGGGCGAAGCTGCCATGCTGAGAGTACAGGGGAAAGGTTCTAAAACCTGGGAATTATTGCAGACAAAAGGTAGTATTCATTTGCAATTGCACCTTGAATGTCAAAATTACTGGATTTAGAATTTAAGCATAGCATTAGTTCTGGCAGAGCACTGAAGTTGTGCTTGTATTGGTTAATTGGCATCAGCTATTTTATGTTTCATAATGATTGGCCTGTTCAGAGCTGTGTGCTTAGTGTTTGTAGGCCACCTTTGGGTGCTTTAAGGTAAGGTAAACTTTATTATCCCCAAGGAGCAATTTGTGCCGCATCCAGCAGTGAACAAAACACAGCCTCAATAACTCATCCATACACAATAAACACTGAAATACACAAAGCAAGAAGCAGAAATCACATAATACTATTTTAAGAGGCCAACAGTGGCAGGAACAAAAGAATTCTTAAATCTATTTGTCCTGTATTTTACATTATACCTGTTTTAATATCACCAGCTGGTGTTTGGTGCAAATGGTAACTTGTGGTTTGTAAATGGCTGGTATATAAAACTACATTAAAATAGGTATAAAATACCAAACAACTAGGGCAAGGAAACACATTTTGACTCATCTGGTTTTCAATGACTGATTTCAATTGATTATCTCATGTCAAGGCCCCAGTGTGCTGTTTTTACAGTAGTTTTGTTGATATAATTAAGACTTACGTTCATCTATGCTTAGGATTCTGGACTCAAACCACAAAACATTTTCTGACAAATCTATCTGTAAAAACATCTGCTAGACATATACAATTCCCTGACATGACTGAAGCACAGCAGACTGAAACATCTCACAGAGCATATGTAGTGAATCTGAAGTGCTTAATGTCTCCAGCTATGGCTCACTGGATAACGTCTTTATAAATATTATTTTTATCAGGCTGAGACTTTTAGAGATGTTTTAAATCTCATCCACTGTGACAGCTACATGACCACAGATACGATCACCTGACAAGAGAAGAAATCAAGGTACAATAACTGGAACCTGTCCAGCTGGGGTCTGAAACATGTGTTCCTTTTTGAAAGCACTGTCCCCAGTTGATGCTGGAAACAAAACAGTGGCATATGCTGTTGTGATGCAGCGCAAACTGGGTGCCATGCTTCATTGAGTTCTGAATTTCATGTGCAGGGCAGCTTAAATTATTTGAGGTGACTGGGTTTCATATACTAAAGTTAATGAAGTCAGACTAGATTGTTCCAGAGCCTTTAAATCTCCTCAGGCCTCATGGGTGAGAGTGTGACCTTCAGTCCAAATCAAAGGAGACAAATTTCTTTAATCAGATGAGTCAAGTTTCTTGGATCTCATCAGCTGAATATTCACAGCTCTAACACGACAGAGCTCAGCCAATGAATGTACTGCTCATCTTAGCCTGCTGAAAGTACTTCAAAGTAAATGCGAGACTAAAGCGAGAAAGAACAATTTATCATAATATTTATCTCTGTTTGTTTGTTTGCTTAGAGGGGCAGGTGAGTAATTTAAAAATGAAGCTGTTGACTGGCTGAATCACAGCAAGACAAACCTGTTAATTAAAGCTAAAATTCCAATCAGCAAAAGACTCTCGCACTCTAAGCAGCAGTTGGCAGAGGGAGAGCTGAAAGCATTCACAAGAAGGAATTGATTTTTCTTGTGTTTGCTAGAAGGTTTTGAAATATACAGGTGAACCCCAATTGATATTTGGATGAGTATTTGTTGGAGCATGTGTATCTCTAAATGTGCATAAGAAAACTTCACACAGAGCAGATCGAAATGCTTTGCTACAATCAGGAGCATTAGAGAGAATGAAACGAAGCCCAACATACAAATGGTGCAACAGCAGATGAAAGCTCACTTTTCTTTTACTCACCATAGCCTGAGGGCCGATGACAATATGACCAAGGAAGGAGAATGAGAAGAAAGAAAAGGTTAGAGACAAACAAACAGGTTCCTCTGTGAGAGGATCGGCAGCTTTCACCTTGAATCCAGATTTATAATAAACATAGTGGGTGACACTGTATAAGTCGTCCTTCACCTTTTAATGCTGTATGCAGTCTGCAAGTAATCAGGGTCAAATTAGCTGGTTAAAAAGTAAAATAAGTAAGGTAAAAATATTACCAACTAACCAGGTAACCTGACTGTAAATGTACTGCACATATATATTACAGGAGCTGGTTTATATTTGCCAGCTATAGACCACCAAATCATATGAATAAAATTACTTTATATGATCATGTTCACATTTTCAGAGCAAATATACAGTATAGTATATACAACACATTTTCTTGAGTGTCAGTAATTAGTGATTTTTTTAAAAATGCTGAAATATCAAACGAGTGTCATGGGCGCAGTAACGTGATATTGTTCTGTCTGTACACTAGTGTCACATGACTCTATCTTCACAGTACAACCTCGTAATATGTCAGAATAAACTTTAATCTAATGATAAAATCATCCTCAATATAGAATTTTATTGTTACTTCGTTAATTTATGGTTTATTTCACAACATATGTGCTTCTGTTCTTGTCTGTACACATTTTTTCTTGGTAAATATATATATTTTTTTATTTGCTATATGCCCAAACTCAAATCCTGTTTAATTTACTAACTGACTAAATAACAAACTAGATGGATAGATAGATAGATCGAAAGCTGTCTGAGTCCAACTATGATTCATATAAGGAGAGACAAAAGTCAAGGTTCAGTGAAGGTCAAAATTAACATGTGGTGAGGCAGATATTGAGTGATGAGCACTCACCAGTTCACTAACAAGAGGAATGGGCCTCCTCTTGCGGAGGTCTGGCATGCTGTCGATGCCAAATGGTGTGTTTCCTCTGTACACACACACACACACACACACAAACAAATACCAAAATGCACTGAAAAAAAAATCGAAAAACTGCATCACGTGATCATATTCGGTCATGTCTTGTCCCCCCTCCCCAACACACACAAACACAAAGTGTTCACTGACCCCGGCTTGGCCCACGCCTGCTTACTGGGGTCGCCGTCTCGATCTCTGCTCTGAAACAGAACGTCAAAGGTCAAGCATTTAGCCATTTCAAGATGTACAGCCTTTACTGGTTTCATGACACTGAAGCATGCACACACACACACACACACACACACACACCGACAAAAGCATGAGAGAAACAAGAAAGTGAGAAAGAAAAACAAAGGAGAAGCACAGGGATTAAACTGGGTTGGTTGAGTTCCAGCTTCGCATGCTAAACAGAGCCTTTCAATCAATCATCTTGTCCCCTTACAAAGCATCATAAATCCAGTTTCACCTTGTAAAGTAAACACCTGCCAAACCACACATACTCCCAGTAAACACACACCGAATACGGACCTTTTCTCTCTAACAGTGTTTTTTGTCTGACAGCGAGTAAAGAGTGCACAGTAAAACAAAATACATACAAACAGACAGCCCACAGAACGAACAGCATCAATATTGTGTCCTAACCAGTACTGAACTCTTTGTGTATGACATTTTTATCTTTATGACAGAAACAACAAATGCTAGTAATAGGGCACAGCTGCACTGAGGCTGGCATCTCATAAAACCTGAAACTATTTCATTAGCTTCAAATTGAAACACAGTAGGCTATTTTAAGGATGAGAGAAGAACAAACAGAAAACAATATACTATAAACACGGTAAAAGGATAATTAAATAAAGTGAGACACTGACAGAAGAAAATGTCCAAAGAATATACAGAAAATTATGCAGAAAGAACAACTTCTTCGAGGATTAATAATGTTAATGGAAGAGAAACCACAAAAGATGTAACCTGATCTTCATCTTGACTTCCATCTGTAAAACAGCATAAAAGATAAAAAGAAAGAGACAGAAAAGGGAAACAGTCACAGACTAGTTTGACTCATCTCAGGCCCAAACAGAATCTGCTGCCATAGAATTCCGATGACACCTTCACAGATTTTCTGCAGACATTGAAAAGAAAGTCTGTAACACTTCTCACGTCACCTTCTAGAGCAGTTCCCCTCAGTAGCCTATATGAACAACCCAGGTTAATGTCTGTTAACAAAGATACTATCTAGTGACGAGATTGTCTGAAACCGCACACTATTATCCCAACTCCCCCCACCCCTTCCTTTCAGTAGCCCACATCTCAAGAAACTGAACTTTGTGTCCTTAAATTTTATGTTGGTGGAATTTCAAACAAATGTTGACACTTTGAGTGTCTTGAAATGTAGATGAAATAAAAAAATCTCATGAAAAGTGATTTCTTTCACCCCACTCAAGATTATTTTAGGTTGCTTTAATGCATTTTTGTGCTTACTTGTGCTCAAAAAAGAATCATTGTTAGCTTAAAAATATTTTCTTTTATGTTACAAGCAAAATAAATAAATCACTCTACACTATTCCACAGATTTCCATCCTGAACAACCACAGAAAACTGTTTTAAAATGTCTGCAGATTCCATTTGGGCCTGCTCATCATGCAAAATAACAAGACACATACTGGATAATCCATTTTGTTATAAATGCTTGGGTAATGTTAAGAGCAACGCAGCTGCTGAGTTTTCAGATAGATGGGGTCTGAGGTCATAAATGTTTCATTAACATGTATAATTTATCATGAGAATGACTCTTAATATTTCCCTTCTCCTTGCTCTTTAATGTCAGGCATGCTTTCCAAAGAGATAATTAATGTTTTCTAATTCAGCAAATGGCTAATGTTGGCGCCCCAGAGAGGAGTAAGGGACTCGTGAGTGGCAGGTGATACATTACTCTCAAGGGGGTAGAAAATTATAGCACAGTAGAGACCACAGACAGTTAATACTCCAAGGACCTTTGTTACAGGGGCTTTTATCAGTGTACATATCGCACTGCAACTGTGAGGCAACTGTGAGAAAGACTTTTGGTAACAGTGAGTGGCCTTGTTGGCATAAAGGTGCAGTGGAAAAGGAAAGGAAACAAGCCAGTACGTTTATGATCAAAAAGGTGATTCAACATCCAATTATTTCCAAATAAAATCATAAAAAGAAATTAGTCATTTATAATCATTTGAGTAAATTTTAATTCAAAAATACTAAACCTCTTTCACCCCATGGGCTGTTAAAAGCATGAAGAGCTGGAATAAATCAGACAAAAATAGCACTTAGAGTGCATATTTCTTTTCATCTGTAATTCAAAAATAATGAATTTACTCAACTAAAGACAAAATGCAGTTGATGAAAAAAAGATTCCAAGTCTAAGTCCAGTTCTGACTACCTGGGTCAAAGTCATCCTGAGAGAGGCTGGACATGGTCATACTGGTGAGGTTACGCCTGGTCTCCCTCTTCTCCCGCAGAATCTGCTGGAAGCTCCTCAGGCACTTCAGTCTGCGTTCATCCATCTGGCTTATGTCCATGAGTGGCTCAGCTACACCTTCTGCTTTGCCCTCTGGAGCCACAGAAATGCCTGTAGGTGGTTGTACCTCACTTTCTCCCTGCCCTTCCAGTGCTGCAGGTTCATCAACCAAGAGGGAGGCTGAGAATGATTCTGCAGTAGAGCACTGCGAAAGTTGGGCTTTACCATTCAGATCTGCAGGAACTGCAGGATCCTCTGTAAGGCCATCAGGTGGAGGCAGTGTTGCAGTGCTACTGGAGATTGGGTCAGGGCAGACTGAAACGTCTTCTGGGCATGGGGGGATCTGGTCTGAAGAAGGATGTTGGCAGTCTCTAGAGTCTAGAGTAAGGCTGTTGCTGGCATCTTCAAACATAGTCTTGACAGAGGAAAGGTCTAATGTTTCTTGAGTATTATGTTTTCTCAGTTCCCCAGGAGCATTAGTAATATCAACCACATCATCTTTCAGGGTTTTGTCAGATGTTTGTCCAAACTGTGCCTCATAGCAGGAAGCCTGTAAAGGTAACTCAGCTGTAGGCAGGTCAAACGGCATTGATATTCCAAAGTTTGTTTCCTCCTCAGGATTCTGGGTTGGTACTTCAAGTTTGCGCAATGCTCCTCGCAAGGCAGAACTGAAATCAAGTACAGCTCGGCCTATGCGCTTGACATTGAAACCACCAGCCTGGGCATCTGCACTGCCAGGGAAAGGGAACTGATTTTCTAAGCCTTGGTTACTAGCTCCAGTCTCTGGAATAAATGGCCCAGCCACATCTGCTGCAGTGGTAGATAAGGACATGTCAGTCCATGTTACTTCTGAAGACTCGTCGTAGGCTAAATAAGTTTCCTGATAACTATGAACCTGACTGTCTGTTGAGTAGCTCGGGTCATTTGATTGCTCATAAGCAAATTTCTTTGCTTCTCCATCATGCCCATCGACTGAATGGTAACCAGAACTTTGAGGGTAGGAAAAATCTGCAGCACACTCAAATCCCGCAGTTGAGTTTTTAAGTTTGGTATCCGCTGAAACATGAATCCCAGACTGGGTTTGAGACCTTCGCCTCCTCTGTGACTGCCACTCCTCCCTGCTAGACATGCTGGCTGGGGAGTTGTAATGTTTCCTAGAATGACCAGGGAGATGTTCTGAGCTTCCTGGGGAACACTGCCCCAATGTATCATATCCTCCTGCACCACTGTAGTGATCCCAGCTACCTGCTCCTTCACAGCTAAGAGGGCTTTCACCATCCTGCTCCTCCAGACATCCATCCTTGAGGTAAGCAGATTCTCTATGCCATGCAGACCCCCCAGCACTGCTGTGTGGTGGTCCAGTGTTAGTCCAGTGTTCCTTCCTGTCATCGGATCGTTGCTCCTTCTTTCCATGACTAGATGATGGTCTCTCCAGGTCTGACTCAGACTTGGAACTATGACCAGAAGACAAGGAGCTGGTGCTTGGACAGTCTTGGTCATCCTGCCTTTCAAGGTAGCCAAAGCTAAGCTTACTTGCTATAGCACCTATTGGGATATCCGAGCTATGGTCAGATGCATCATCTGGTTCTTCTAGTTCTGGATGAACCACTGATTCAGCAGTTGGGGACACAGTAGACTGTTCTGCCCTTGGTAAAAGTAATTCTCCATGGATGCTATGATGCTCATTGCAAACATGGGGGAAAAGACTTGAATCAGACTTTGGCATCGCACACCCTAAGCTGCCATAAGCACTTGCCGGCCTTCTACGAGGGGATGGTACATCTTTGCATCCTATCCCTGACCAGGTACCTGTGCGCACCCCTGAACCAGCCTTATTGCTAGAACGAATGCCTTCAATTTCCAACAGTACAGCATCTACACAGGATGATACTTCCTCAACTGACCCTCGAACTGATGTTAGGTAATCCCTGAGGTCAGAGATTTCCTCCTGGATCTTATTGATCCCCCTCAGCTCTTTCAGAATGTGCTCAATGATGGCACTTGACTGCTCCTCTTTATCTTCATCCTCTTCTTCTGGCAGTGTACCTGGGAGAGCTCTGTTGAAGTTGTAGTCCACACAATCACCAGTAGAATATGGTCTCTTTGGCCGAATACGGGGTGAAGAAAAACTGCTTCCGGCTGCTCCTAAAAATTTAGTACCATTCATGTCTGGGCCAATTGGACCGTAGTGCGACTGTGCACGGATCTGCTCAGGAGTTGCCCGAATTTCACCTTCAAAGGAGATTCGTTTTATACTTGTTGTGGACCTGCAGCTTTTATGTTGCAAAGTGCAGGGTATTCTTATACAACCCTCTTTGTTCAGCTCCACCTCACCAACACATGGTGGCCCTGGTGCTACTCCTTTACCGTTTGCCACTTTTGGAGAGTAAGCGTCACTCCTGGGGCCAACCTTTGGATATACACCTCTGTGCTCCTTTCTGCCCTCCTGACTTTCCCCCTCCTCCTCCTCAATACCTGCATAATAGAGGTGAGAATCTGGGATGTGGTGGTCCGCAGACCCTTGCAAGAGACGATGTATTTTACCCCGAATGACTAATGCTACCTTTGGGTTTGGAGCCCTCTTTTTGGGCGACTGAACTTTAGCCTTCGTGCCTCCTTTAGGGGCAACACCTGCTCCATGTTGTCCATTGAAGCGATTCTTGGAGAACATATTCTCAAGAGAGCAGACTGTCCTTATCTAGTTCCCTA